TCCCGTTTCTCCACATCCTCTCCAGCATCTATAGTCTCCTGATTTGTTCATTTTGGCCACTCTGGCGTGAGGTGATATGAGTGTGGTTTTGATTTGTATGAAATAATGAATATTGTTAAGAGACTCTTAATATGAAAAGCACATAAAGTACTACTTTATTACTATCATAAATTCCTGCTCGTAATTTATGATAAAAATCGCAAAGGGGCGCCTGGGTGGCGCAGTCGGTTAAGCGTCCGACTTCAGCCAGGTCACGATCTCGTGGTCTGTGAGTTCGAGCCCCGCGTCAGGCTCTGGGCTGATGGCTCGGAGCCTGGAGCCTGTTTCCGATTCTGTGTCTCCCTCTCTCTCTGCCCCTCCCCCGTTCATGCTCTGTCTCTCTCTGTCCCAAAAATAAATAAACGTTGAAAAAAAAAAAATCGCAAAATACGAGGTAGTTGTATTATGCCATAGACTTATAGCATATACCTTATTATTTTTTTAAATTTTAGTTAACATACAATACTGGTTTCAGGAGTAGAATTCAGTGATTCATCACTTGCATACAATAGTGCTCATCGTAAGTGCCCTCCTTAGTACCCATCACTCATCTAGCCCATCTCTCACCTACTTCCCCCTTTTAACCCATAGTTAGCTATCATTAAGAAACTCTTGTGGTGAGCCTCATTTGTGTGTTTATTTTTTTAAGTGTAGAAAATTGTTTCAGTTGATTTATAGGCTTATGGGATTCTTAAAACATTTCGAGAAATCAGAGCTTAGAATCACTGCTCTGGATGTATTACTCTCTTAAGATAGGTCAAGATGCAAAAATCAGGACTACTAATCCTGATAGTTTCCAATTCAACATTGTTAAAAATCACAGGAAGAAAAGAAAATTTATTACTACCTGGAACTTTGTGTGTATATGCATACATACACACATAGCCATATGGTTAACTAAGGAGCACATTAATCTGCATTTTTCTTATATTTCCTAAGAGGGTACTTATGATCCTTGGGGAAAATTTTAAAGATTTAAATCTCCTGTCACATAATAAAGTTTTTAATAATTCACTGTCTCAATACTCTTTTGTGTCATTAAGTTTTACAGCACAGAAAAGTTCTGGAAATACAGTTTTGTGTCTTGTTTTTCTGTGTTCTGACCTTATGATGCTTGAAACCCAGTCCACCTCATTCCTATATACTCAGAGCACTGTTAGGACTCTGGCTTTCATTACCAGTTCTCTGGACTTCCCCAATTTTTTATGTAGCATCCATCTTTTTCCTCCAAAGTAAACAATTTTCCAGGTAAATGCAAACCCCAAAAAATCCAAGGAAATGAAAAACTACAATTCATGACACAATATATTTAATGTATAAACAGGGTTATTTTTTTAATGTTTATTTTGAGAGAGACAGAGCATGCAGGGGAGAGGCAGAGAGAGAGGGAGACACAGAATCTGATGCAGACTCCAGGTTTCAAGCTGTCAGCACAGAGCCCGACGTGGGACTTGACTCAAGAACTGTGAGATCATGACCTGAGCTCAAGTCGGACACTTGACTGAGCCATCCGGGTGCCCCAGGGTTTTTTTAACTGTAGAAGTTTAAGGAAAACTACCAGGATAAATCATAATTTGTGTGACAGCCTGTCACATTAATGGTGCCAATGAATTATATACCTCCTGCTGTGTTCCTGTGCAGTCCCTCTCACACTGACTCTAGACTTGACCATGTGACTTGCTTTGTTCAATGGAAGAAGAGCAAATGTGATGGAAACACAGGCTTGATAAGCTCTTGTGTATCAGTCTTGCCCTCTTGCAATGTCTGCTCTATCACAGGAATAAGACAAGTCTAGCCTACTAGAGCCATGCAGAACAGAGACAGCCACATCAGTGAACCATAGATTTTCAAACAGTCTTGTTTTAATGAGTTTTGAGGTGGTTTGTTGTATAACAATGGATAAGAGCTACACTTTATGGAACTTTATCATCTCTCTTTGTCTATGCCTGTTGGAAGAGCAAATGAATAAAAATTAAATAAATGGAAAAAATTTTTTGGAAAAAAAACCCAAATCTTAGTATTTCAGCAAACTTTAACAATACTGGACCTGCTGTACTTCTGTTCTATTTCCTCCCCTCTACCTCAGCTATTCAGTCCACTTAAATGAGTATTTACAAGAACCAACAGTTTAACTGTAATCCAAAAGTTCTATAGGTACAGAAGGAAGAAACTATCAATGAACAAAGAGTATGTGATAAATATTTTTATTTTTAAACACTGAATTGTACATCTTTCATATAAAAGATGAAATTCCAGACTGTTTTTAAAAAAATCATTCTAATACTTTACATTTTTTACAGAAGTAAATTTTCTCTAAATTTGCAGCTTCATTCCATAGCTTTTATAGAATCATAATCTCTTGAATATACTTCCAATTTCCTTTAAAAAATAAAAAATTCATATAAGATAATTTATTTAACATAGTAAAACTTAACAGGTTATAGTATAACTACTAAGCTTTCTGGCTACCACTGAATACTTTTCTCAGTACAGAAAAGCCAACATGTTGGGGTGATCAATTCTCTGTATTTACTTTTATTAAAAACAGGTTTTTGGTAGTGAGAACAAATAATCTCTCATTTGTTGCTTGAAAGCCTAAAATAGGATCATTGGTTTCTAGGCTTGCTACTTGCTGCTTAGCAACCTGCCCTACTTGCCGACCTTCCTTTCTGTTGTAAAGTACAGTGGACATGGGAGTGGGCTGGCGGTAGATGAACACTCGACGAAGGCACTCACACAGGGCTGCATACGAGTAGTTTGGAGCACAAGCAAAAAATTTTTTGTCTCTCTTTGATGCTTGGACGTAGCCTGTTATGAAACAAATAAAAACCCATATATTAAAAAGAAGGAAAATTGATTACACATTTAGTATTTCCCAGTTTTTATTATAAATTAAAATGCCTCGATAAAATATACACCATAAATATTCAACAGTGTTTGAATTCTGAACCATTAATGACTACTTAAAATTTCTCCCAATTGGTGCCAAAATAGAGCTTTAATTCTTAAGGAAGAAAGTAGGTAGGGTTTTATCTCTTTAAGAAAAACACAATATAGTTCCTTATTTCCGTGAATCATTAGGACACTAAAAATCTAAAAATCAAAAGGACTAAAAACATGTCAAACTATCTTTAAATGCCAAATAATTAAGCTCATCAATCACAGATGTGGCATTACAGAATCTTTTTTATCAAATAAATGGGAAAATATTTATAGGATACCACTATAAAGTTATTTCAGGAGTGTGTTCATAATATAGCCCCCAAGCCTAAAAATGCTAATGTGACAATGCATTCTCTTATTATTTCTATTATGTTAGTGGTATTTTTATACACCAGTGCCCACAGTGTAACAGGATTTTGTTGTACTTCAGGTCCCAGAAGTAGAACTTGAGATCACTACAAGTTGGAATGAAAATTTAAGCATCTAATTTTAAAAACTTAATTAGAACATCCCTTGAAAACTAATTAAACTCTGTAAAATCTTATTCTTGTCTTTTAAAAAATTATCTTTACAGGTTAAAAGGGTATTTATGTTCTGAAGTATAAATTAGGATTTTCAGACTGGGACATGGTTACTGAATGTTATAACATGTGGGATAAAAACAGAATACTAACGTAAAGTGATCTCATCAAATAACGAGCAAAGGAACTCTAGGTAGAGCACAGGAAGATCAATATTGGTTTTATAATTAAACAGGGTTTGAAGAGGAAACAGTGAAGAGGATGTAGATATCTGAGTATTTTAGAATTAGCTCTCTGGGCTAACCTTGAGAAAATTAACAATGTATATAATGTCTTGAGACTACAAATCAAATGTAATGTTGATTTAACTTAAGCAGAATTCTAAACAGACTTAGGGATACAAATGGAGAATCTAAGAATATAAAAATTATGTGACAGAGATTTCCTTACTGAAAAAAGAAGATTCAGAATTAAAAAAGAGGAATTATATAGAGGCCAGAAATTTTATATTCAAATTTTTCAATAAAACTCTTTATTTCAGGTCATAAAAATCCATTTGGAGTCTGAATTAACCAGCTTAGCAGCCTACATTATTAACTATAAGGGATAATTGACCAATCTCCTCTATAATAAAGGTTGTATTCAGAATATATAATTTTACTTCCTGTTCCCAGTTTAAAATAATCACTCAATAAAGCAGTAACTGTGCCAAATTTATATAAAAAAACTTCTCCCATACAATACTAATATAGTTTGACATAAAATCAATTATTGCATAAGTCTACAATTATGTATCTTAACATTTTTCAAGCCCTAGTTTTAAAATGCATTTCCTTAGAGCAATTCTATGATGTTTTTGATGATTACTCTGAAGAAACATGAATACAAGTTCCATGTAGGGTATTGTCAAACCCACTGTTCATATTCTAATACCGCATAGCTTATTTGGAATAAACAAATGACTGATTAGAAGAATCAAGTGGTGAGATAACCACTTTGATTTCTATTCTGTGCTGATCTTCTGTACAAGCATAAAAATAGATTGGTTCTGTTCCAAAAGTACTAACATTCATCAACTATAGTAAAAGCAACCAAATATAGCACAAATCAATCCAAAGGTAATTAAGACTGATCAAATTAAAAAAAAAAAAAAAAGAAAAAAGAAAAAAGAAATGAACTTAAAAAAAAAATGACCCTACTTTCTGACATAATGGAAAATGCTGTCAAAGAGCTTGCTTTATACCTAAAGCATTGAAAGTTGCAATGTGCTCCCACATATCATCTTGTTTGCTGGAGTGTGGCTGCCAGAGTAGGGCATCAACATCATGGCGTAAACAGAAGCAGGGCATTTCTTTAGGATCCACTATGACAGAGAAAAGGTACTGGTTGCTTCCAAGATTCACCTAAAATAGTGACAAAGAATAATTTACTCAACAAATTAATAATGATAATGATGATGCCAATAACTGACACACAGCTCTATATGTCAGCAAGTTTTCTAAACTGTTTATACAGGCAGTTTGGTTACCTCTTCAGAAATGCCCCTGGGAGAAATGTGCTACTGTTATATCCATTTTAAAGTTCAGCAAAGTCACTTGCCCAAGGTCAGCCTGGTAATAAGTTGTGGAGCTGAGACTGAACCCAGCATCTATGTTCCTAACCACTACACTATACTGCCTCTTAACTCTTAGTATCCTAGTTTAAAACACAATATAAAACACTCGTTTATAGGCAGAATACTTTTTAAACCACAGAATTACAAATATGAAGTTTACAAATGGGAACTTGTAACAATTACTAAGTACAATGATAGCTAAGATTTATGAGCATGTGCTATATATACAAGGCATGTTATAAATATTAATTTCAACAATCAACACGCTTGTTATTATCTGCACTTAAGAGATAAAAGAACATGGGAGAGTTTGAGAACTTGTTCTAGGATACAAAGAAAAACCACAAAGCTGAGATTCAAACTCAAATCTGTTTACAAATTATTTAAGTTGATGTACTGTTTCAGTATCAATGTCAAGAATGTTTATTATGCTAATAATTTTTATTGCAATACTCATGACTAAAGGAATTCATTTTTAATACAAAACCATCGGATTGAGATTCACATTTGAATTCTACCTATAGGAATACTTCTTTTAATGAAAATAGGTTGAAATGATATTCTGTCTAGAAATGTTATCATCAGTTAAAAATGCCTAAATACCACACCAACAAAATCACATCAAATGTAGAAAACATGCATAGTACTTGATAAATATTGAATTGCTTTCATGAGTTTCAGGGAAGACTGGAGAATAAAATGTTGGGTTCCAATGAGAGAGACCTGACCTGTATTCAGTAGGGAAAACTGTGAAGTGGCTCTCCAGGAAGAGGATTTATTGGTACAGCTGAGCAGGCATAGGTTCCTGGTCACAGGAGAATTCTGTGAGAGAGCAACCCAATTTCTGTTGCCCCAGCAGTGCCTGGGGATAGAACTTTTGTCTTCCTCGGAAGGGGAAGAGGATGGCAGACAGTGTTCACAGACTATACATGTTTTTTATGTAAATACACCTACAACGATGTTTACTGCAGCTTTGTTTATATAACATTGAAACACTTAAAACTGGTACATTTTTCTTAGGAAAAAAAAATGGGCCCCTTATTCTGACTTAAATATTTCTTCTCTTCCACTCTCACTTACTTTATACATATCTCCATTAGAGTCATTGAGAGAAAGAGTAAGCATGAGTGGGAGGGAGGGGCAGAGAGAGAGGGAGACAGAATCCCGAGCAGGCTCTGCACTGTCAGTGCAGAGTCTGATGTGGGGCTTGAACCCACCAAACTATGAGATTGTGACCTGAGCTGCAATCAAGAGCTGGACCCTCAACCAAAGGAGCCACCCAGGCATCCCCAAATCCCATTAAAATATTTTTCTTTTGTTTATTTTGAGAGTGAGTGTATGGGGGAGAGGGGTGAGGGTCGGTGGGAGGAGAGAGCGAGAGAACCCCAAGAAGGCTCAACACTGTGAGCATGAAGCCCAACATGGGGCTTGGACCCATGAACCATGAGATCATGACCTGAGGCGAAATCAATCAAGAATCGGATGCTTAACCAACTGAGCCAGCTAGGCACCCCCACCCCTGCAAAAGCCCATTTTATAGTAATTATTATTTATTTTTAATTGAAGCATAGTTGACATATAATACAATATTAATTTTAGGTATATGACATAGTGACCCTACAATCATATACATTACAAAATGCTCACCATGATTAGTTACAAAAGTCACCAAAGTTGTTATAATTTGATTGACTATATTATTCCCTATGCTGTACTTTTGATCGCTGTGTGTACTTCTTAATCCCCTTCACCTATTTTGTCTATCTTCTAACCCCCATTCCCTCTGTCAATCATCAGTTCTCTGTATTTAGGAATCTATTGTTGTTTGTTCATTTGTTTTGTTTTTAGAGATTCCATATATGAGATCATATATTTGACTTATTTCACTTAGCATAATGCCATCAAAATGCATCTATGTTGTCACAAATGGCAAGATTTCCTTCTTTTTCATGGATAAAAAGTATCCCATTGTATGTATATACATATTTTTAAAATCCATTGATCCATCAATGTACACATATTGTTCTCCTATGTTGGCTCTTGACTATCATAAATAATGCTACCATAAGCATGGGGGTTAGTACTTTTTTTGATTTTGTGTTTTTACTTCCTTTGAATAAATACCCAGAAGTGGAATAACTGGATTATGTAGTTATTTCTATTTCTAATATTTTGAGGAACCTCCATTCTTGTATTTTGCATAATGGTTTCACCAATGTACATTCCAACAAGGAGTGCACAATCGTTCCCTTTTCTCCACATCCTCACCAACACTTCTTCTTTTTCATACTGGCCATTCTCACTGGTGTGAGGTGATGATTCCCTGTGGTTTTGATTTGCACAGGGCTCGGCGCTGGCACACAGAGCCTGCTTGGGGTTCTCTCCTCCTCTCTCTGTCCCTCCCCCACTTATGCTGTATCTCAAAATAAATCAATACACTTAAAAAATAAAATAAAATGGGCTTTGGGAGAACATGCTGTGGTGGTGATTAAGAACATGGGTTTGGAAGCACATCTGAACTGAAATCCCAGTTGCCATTTACTAGCTTCCTAACTTAAATCTCTTCACCTCTTAAGTTTGAGCTTCCTCTTCTATAAAATGGGATCATATTCCTAATTCTTAAGTAGTGAAGATTAAATAAGGTAGTTGGTAAAATAATAGAAAATATGTATATATTGTGTTCTGCCTCTGGGTCCTGGCACACAGTTCCTGAAACTCTTATAATTTCCTAAGTGATAAGAACACTAGGAACATCTTTTGTTGTAATATTTGATCTTTGATCCAGGTTCCTGACACATAGCTCCTAACCCCTTGGTATTTGACTCTAAGTTATAGGAGTGTCTTTTGTTCTAACGAGATGACTCTTGGTGGGCTCCTGGATGGCTTCAGGATAGGGGGTGTTTGCCACAGAAAGACCACACCATGATTAGGAGCTTGGAACTTTCAGCTCCACCTCCTAACCTTTAGGATAGGATCGTGACTGATCATGCCTGTGTGATGAAACCTTCACAAAAGTCCCAAAAGTACAGGCTTCATAGAACTTCTGAGTTGCTGAACACATGGAAGTACTAGGAAAATGGCATGTCTGGTGAGGGAATGGAGGTTTTGTGACCTTCCTCTATAGTTTGCATTATGCATCTCTTTCACCTGGATGTTCATTATTATCCTTTATTGTATTTTTTATAATAAACTGGTCAATGTGCATTTTGTTAACTGTCTTGGCAAACTATAGAACCCAAGGAGAGGGTTGTTGAAACCCTGATGTATGGCCAGTCACAGGTATAGATGAACCTGGGATTTGTGACTGGCAGCTGAAGTGGGAGTTTGGGAGAGTCTTGCGGGAGTGAGGCCTTAGCCTGTGGGATGTGACACTACCTGCAAGTAGATTGTGTAGGATATCCTACTAGTCTCAGAAAACTACTTGATGTGTGGAAAACCCACACATCTGGTATCAGTAATGTTCTGTGTGGTAGCATTGTGAGAGTAAAGGAGAAACCCAGGGAATTGTTTTTCTTTATACAGTTGTAGATGCATATCAACCCAATACTTAATGCATAGTAAGAACAGTGTAAATTTTAGCAATTTATTCTATGTACAGAATGCTTGAATTTTGAATTCAATAATAGGCTTTGGAATTAAAGTTTCAGGTCATTAACTTTTCAGTCTGGGCTCATAAAAATACTCTGTTTCTGAACAGACAGAATCTTTTTCTTGATACTCATTTTTAATTTAATTTGGTAATAGCAGTTATTAGAGGTTCTTTAAATGTCTTTACTTTGACATTTAATCTTCAAAAGTCTTTAATTGCTAAGTGTTCTACAAAGAAAAAAAAAGTATCAATTGACTACTTGAAATGCATTTCAAAATTTTCTCTAGAGAATATTTTACTCTAATTGTAGTTTTCACTAGTACTTTAAAGATAAACACAATCTTTTCTTTAATAAACATGAAAATAGAAGGAATGTGGAATTGTATTTTATTGGCCAGTTTATGGGTTTAGGATTTTTTTTTTTTTAAGGCAATAAATTTGGCATTAGCAAAGAATGAGTTTTCCAAATTAGTAAATTGTCTAGTGTAAATGAGTTCTTCTCATTTAAGTGCTAAGACTATGTTTCAAGCCTTTTTAAAATGAAATCTTGCTAAAATTTATTATTTGCACATCTTATATAGAACATTCTGAAGAGAAAGTAACATTTTATTGATGGTTGAATGTCATCAGGGTAAACATTAATGTATATGTCTATGATAATACCCTTAGAGACATCTGAAATGAGGAGAGCTCTTTAACACTACACTAAGTAACCTCAGCCTTCTCCATTTTAAAAACGTATTTTCTGGTTATGCGTGGTTTGTTTTTGTTCCTTCCTTCCACTGCTAATAAGCTATTGGGGGCTACTTCTTTTGTCAGCATTTGCCCAAAGTAGCCATCCTTTCCTTCTTTCTTATTTGCTATCCCATTTTGCTCTTGGATACCAAATTGTGACCTTTGGCTTTGTGGTACCTGTTCCTGACTATCCAGGGAAACTTAGAGCATCTTACTCTTGACTCTTACAGGTTATTTGCCCATGCCAGGTAAATGGATAATGTTTCACTTTCCCGTTTTGTCTGCTTCAGATATTTTTGTTTTTCTGCATTTTCTTATGTTGATGCTTTTTTTTCTATAGGATCATACAAAAGTGCACTTGATTTTAAGTGTACTTTTTTAGTTATCACACTTCATTTCATTTACTTAATTCACTTAGCAAAACTAGTTACTTTAGTTTGTAATCTTAATACTGATTTGTTTTG